TGCATTTTGCACTGAAAAAAATTGATTTGATAAATTTACTTGATTCAAACGTTGCAATGCAGCACTTTTTCAGTGCAGTTACTGACAGTAGCCCATGTGTTGCTATACACAGCCTGCATGGCAGTAGTGTGGTAGCGTGGTACGAGTGTATTGAGCGCAGCAGTGTTACTGTTACTTTTAAAAGCTGCATAGACATTTGCAGACGATCTGAGCCTGGATCAGTCTGTGTGACTGCCCTTAAATCAGTACAAGGAGCGAACGTCCACCCCACTCATTGAAAGCTCAATGCCCAAATACAAGGAATGCTGTACTTTGGTAACCCCTCTCCATGTCCTTTTGAAGTTCACTAATAGGATCTAAGGCTAGACTATAACAGGCCAGATAGAACATACTGAGCAACACATACTAACCTCAGCTCTTCACCTGAATTTGAGAAAGTAATTTACTATCAGTGTGGTTATCTACACATCCGCAACCTTCATCAACCAAGAGTGAGCAAAAGTGTCACACCTAAAAACACACACACACACACACACACACACACACACACACACACAGAGTCGTCCACTGTGCAAGTTCAAACACTTACAATCTTCCGGCTGTGGATAGGATACTCAGAACCAACACATGCAAAGCTCTCAGTAAAGCTGGACTCAAGAGTCAACTTATCACTATAATTGTTCTCTAAATTTTCCCTACCATTCCCAAACCTCTCCCTAGCCATTCCCAAACCTTTCCGTAGCCATTCCCAAACCTCTCCCTAACCATTCCCAAAACTTTCCGTAGCCATTCCCAAACCTCTCCCTAACCATTCCCAAACCTCTCCCTAACCATTCCCAAAACTTTCCGTAGCCATTCCCAAACCTCTCCCTAACCATTCCCAAACCTTTCTGTAGCCATTCTCCAACATTTCTCTATTCCAGTGTTTCTCAACTCGGTCCTCAGACAGGCCACATTTTCCCTTCATCCCTAAGTGTTGCAAGTTTGGTTGGAGTAAAAATGTAGACCCTGAGGACCTGGTTGGAAAGCACTAGTCTAACCTTTCCAGAACTGTTATCCAAACATTCCCAGACCCCAGACCTTTCCCCAACTATTCCCAAACCTCTCTCTAGCCATTTCCAAGCATTACCCGGACCATTTCCAAATGTTTTCCTAACATTCCCAAACCTTTCTCTAGCTACTCCCTAACTATACCCTGAACTTTAACAATTCATAAACGTTTCACCTTCTTCATAACTCTAGAGCCCAAAACCCCCTTATTTTTTACTTGTTTTTATATGTACACAGCTTTCAATGTATTGATTTTTCTTCATGTTATTATTGTCTTTTCTGTCTCCCTAACTGTACATTATTACTATTAAAGATGAAATGGTTATGCTAAACACAACATTGTGCATCATCCTTATCTCAGATCTACACACAGTTTCTCTGGTTCTGCTGATGTGTGTGTGCTCACCGTGATCAGCGTCTGCAGTGCTGCTGTCTTACTCTTAATACTGAGACAATGAAAACAAATTATTTGCATCATTTTATTGTGTTATTTGGGGCCAAAGCATTAAAAAGCATTGATAGTATTGAAAGAAAGGAATACATTCACTGTTAAAAAACAAGGTGTTGAATATTGGAGCATATCAACGTTTTGTGTTGCCTTTGGGTTGCATTTTAGGCCTGAAGAAGCTGAAACAGCACTGAACAGGATGACCCATGATCCATTGCATGAGCTGAGAAGGAAGATCAAAAAACTATTTTGGTTTATATTTTTAATTACAGGAAAAAAAACAAAAAACAACCTGTGTTCATCATCAGCAGCACCTGACCACAAAGTACATGTTAAATAGAAACGATTCCAGATGAAACGATGATGTTCTGTATCATCTGTCTTCTCATTGTGAAACATCTAGACCTGCAGTGTCTCCACATTCTGACTATTATTACTATTATTTCCAATAATAATTAGAAAAATGATTGCCATAGGTACACCTTAAAGGGGAATTCCTTTTTCAAAATTTTTGCATAATTCTGAGAGAGTCATTCAGAGTGGTTTGATGTGAAATGGGTCGTTGTAGAGAAACGTATAGACTCTTTACAGTGGTGGTGATAGGAACCAGGGGTCACGATGACTACAACTCAAATATAAACATTTTATTTACAATCCAAAAAATCACCAGTGAACCTACACGTCTCCTCTGAGCCTTTATGTTAATGATGGTAAAATAGTGGAAAATCTGAAATAATAAGTTTTCTTTGGGGTCTATTTTGCCTCACAATGCCCTGCATGTATCCCTCCACCATGATGGATCAAAATAAATGGATTACTAAGACGTTTCTGGACAAAACTTTATCACCAGACTATCATAAAACAGTGTCTCAGTCACCAGTCAGTGTATTTAGAGCCATTTCATGTAATAACTTTCTGTGAGGGAGCTTTTAGAGATAAACATCTGGTTAAACACCCCCTTACACACACACACACACACACACACACTCACTTCCTCTCAGAGCAGAAACTGTAGTCTCAAGATGACCCTTGATAACTTGCCTGATGTGTGAATGCAGCACATGAGACGTCTGTCAGTCACTTGAGACCTGAGAACCAGTCTATTCTTATGTAAACACTAATTAATAAATGCAATTAAACACTAATTAATTAATGCATTGTTCTCTAAATTCAGTTAATTATACTTGAACAGCTTTAAGTGAAAATGTATTGTTGAAAACTACACAAAGAGATGATCTACTGTACAGAAGATACTTTAATATCTGAGCTACTGAAAGAGAAAATATGAACCGTTCTAAATCGCTCATCTCCAGCTGTGGATCATTACAGTAGTCCTATACACTCTCACTGGGGCAGTACCCCTCCTGTCACTGGGGTGGGACCCTCAAGGGTGCATCTCAGTACCTTTAGTCAGGGAACATAACTGTACCATAATCCACTGAAATGATATGTTCTAAGCTGTACTGACTCCACACACCCCGTCTCGTCTCCAGGCTTTTATTTTACTGTTCTGTTTTAAAACATTCGGTTATGAAAAGGTACAAATACAAACTTTTCACCTGGAAAAACTTATTTAAGGTTCACAATCAGACCTTAAAACCACTGTTGTACCTTTGAGGGAACATTTACATTGTTTGTAACTTGACGAATGAAAAATGTTCCTGAACAGAACCTTTATTTCTAACAGTGTGGGAAACTTCAGTTTCCAAACTTCAAACTTAAGTTCAGTAGTGTCACACTACTACACAAGAGAAAAGAAATGCTGAAACTTTATTTTCCAGTGTATTGTTGTTTAAGTCAGAGTTGGAGAGAGTAATCAGTTAATAATAATAATAATAATAATAATAATAATAATAATAATAATAATAATTTTATTTATACTGCACTTTTTTCAATGTCTTTTACACAAGAATCTGAGTAAAACATTAGAAAGATACGAGCACAATGCACAGTTGCCAGACATGTGCACAGATGGGCCCCGGGGTGGGCTTGAGCTCCTGCCCCTTTCCCCTCAAACTGCGCCCTCTTGGCTGCTGTGTATAATTTGCATTCTTCCAAGTCCATTCCAGCAAGAAGATGCTCAGCCTCACTCGAGGAACAGAGCTCATAGGTTCGCCTGGGTTCTTTGACATTTATCGCTCTCGGACGCCCCCTCTGGTGCAGAACCACCACCTGCACTATGAGAAATAAAGACTGATGTCGCCCACTGACATCAGTTCTTGACTGCAGAGGACCTGAAGCTCCTTCACCTTCACCATCTACTGTATGATCTATGAAGGTGAGAAGCTGAGACAGTACTGGAGCTCCAACAGTCCATTAGACAGTGAGAGCTTCTCGCTGTATCTCTATTTTGTCTGGATAGAGAAGCTCTCCCTATCAGATGGACTGTTAACGAGCTCCAGCTCTATCTCTGCACTCAAGAAATGAAGGCTACATCACTCAATATTCTGACCAATCACCAGCTTCCACCTGTCTTTAAAATGACTCCACTTTGCTGCTTTCAGATGCCAACATTTTGTTATTCCCCTCCTTCCTATCTACTGCAGCCAGTTTGGTCCCCGCCCGGTTGGTCCTCGCCTTGTTGCCCAGGGAGTAGGCTCCACCCCTGCCGTCCATGTACGGTAGGATCTGTGAGGGTCCAGACATTCCACGACCTGGGCTGACAACGGGGTCTGCGCCAAAGAATTTAACTTACGATAATTGTTATCTATCAAACTGCTAAATACTTTTGAGATTTAAGTTTTTTTTCTTTTTTCATGCTTGTTTGGCTCTGCACATCTGTGTGTATGCAGTTCTGTTTACTGGTTGTAATCAGTCCAGTAGGAAAAAAAACACCTCTGCAACCAGTCTGGGTATCACATTTTTTAATGTTTCAGTAGATTTCTCTGAAGTATTTAGAAGCTCTTAAGCAAGAAATCCTCACACGAGTGCTGTTTTGTTCTTCATAGATCAGACTAAAACAGGTTGGTTGGTTTGTTGGTCAGTCAAATGTGCCTTTCTGTCAATATTGCTGATTTTTGGTGATGTTAAATGATCAAATACTCCAGATTCTCTGATAACAGGTTAAAGTCTGGCTTACTAGATTTACCATTCACCTCCTTCAGAACGCTAGAGCCCAAAACCCAACAGCTCAAAACATAACTGTTTTTATATGCAGGCAGCTTTTATTATTTTTTTCTAGTTCTATGATCTGTTCTGTCTACCTAAATGTGCATTATTAGGAGACGGTTATACTAAAGGCATTATAGATCATCTTCATCTTCTCATTACACTCTGTTTTTGCTGTTCTGTGAATGTGAATGAACACACAGCCTCTACAATATCACCACAATATAACTCTCACTGCATCACTCTCTTATATAATATCCATGTAATACTGTGACAATATAAATGCTGCACACCATTAAATAACCATTAATAATAATGTTTTATTTCCACAGAGTTAAACAATCACTGACAATAATGAAAAAGCAAAGCGCTGACTGATAAAATCCTGTGATGATTAAAGAGTTGTGTAAAGCTTTTAGCTGCTCTGTGTGCTGAGTGTGGGTTGGGTTGAAGTTGTAGATCTCAATTTTTGGGTTTGCTGAAGGTCCTCCTTGCAGAATTTGCCCTTGTTTGTTGTAAACCTGAAAGATACAATTTAGATTTAATATAGAAAGAAATGTGTTTGTGACACATTAAAACAATAAACCACATATTGTCTCTATCAGAACAAAACCTTGTATCGTAATTTTTTTAACATGATTTGAAAACAGCAGCTGTCGTTTACATTGTCCCGAAATTTCCTGATGAATGGACCAATAGAAATCTTTCAAAACTAGTTACCTCATTAGAATTAGAACCGCAGTACATTAGAGCAGCATTATGTAATATTTTTGTTAAAACTGAAAATAGCATTATTAAGAATAAAAGAAAAAAAGAAAACACTAAAATATGGGGAGTGTGCGCTGCTGCAAATCACCTGCAAATAATCATGTAATAGTCAGAAGTACCGGGACGGATTTTGTAGGAATTTTTTAACTATGTTGTACTTTTCTTTACATATTAACTTCACACATGCAGGTTCAGCTTGATGTTTAGGTCTCAAATGATCTCAAAATCAACATCATACTGATAAGGATGTGATGACAATAGTAGATAATTCACTGAAATCAATTGAGATCTCTTTGAATTCTCTTTCAACACATTCGCAAAAGTCGGATCTGCTTATGGGGGTGTGAAGCACAACCGCCGTTACAAAATGTTCTTCCGCACGTTGTGTGCAATTACATATTTCCACCAGAGAGGTTGCCAAATCCCCAAATCCTAGTTTTGCGTTAATGTACATCAAAGTTAGGAACGTTTTTTTCTTCTTCCGAAAAATTTCCCATTTTCTAGATATGAGATTTTGTTCCGACAGTGACGATATACATCTTACATACAAGGCAGATACTCACACATAGCCTGTCTTGGGGCAGTTGTGATGTGTTTTTACCACTTCTAGTATTTCTGTGTCTGGAATTTTAAAAGTGATGAAGTTGAAACAGCACAGATCAGGATGGCAAAGACCATGAGCTGAGGAAGAGGAGAAGAAAGATTTGAAGATCTGCCTTCTAACTGTGGAACAATTCAACCTGCATTTTCTGCACACCTAGACTAATTTTACTATTACTACTAATAAACAATGGTTCTAATAAAAATAACAATCAAACATTATGCTATTATTATTGATTACCATTATCAGTAGTTGTTCTTACTGTTATTTTTAGTAGTAGTAGAGTAGAGTGTGAAAGTAATAAATATCTATATTTAAACACATTCAATTAAATACAAATCACAATGTTACAGATAAAGAGTCAACAAATCCTTTTTATTGTTTATAATATTTATAATATTAAATATTATATTAACTTTAATGCTGGGGACAAATCATGTTCTCCATCACCCAGACTAGCAAATCTGCCTTGTTTTACCACAAATACAGATATATGCAGAACTTAAAAAATCAAATATGTGAGAAAAATAAAGATACATCTCCTCAGATGAGATTTGCAACGGCTATTTTAGTGCAAATATAAAAATGTAATGAATAAAAAGTGTATTTTTCTTTTCTTGGAATTAAATAAGAGTGGAAATTAATGACCATTGTACTTCTGTACACAGAATTAAATCACAGCACTTTTTTAAAAAAGTACTTTTACTTCACCAGTTTAGTTGTTTCTAATGTTACAGATGAAATTAGCACATCAGCTCATAAACCAGTTAGTAGACAGCCTGGGTAATTAAAAAAAAAAACTCAGTTTTGAAAGCCAATAAAAAGAGATCAGTGTCAAAAACAATTCAGCCCTGATGTGTCCAGAGAAGTTTAGAGGAGAAAAAAAGAGGAGAACACTACCAGAACAAATGAGGAACGTACTTTGTCCAAAAGGTGAACTATATTATTATATTTATTATCGTTATTATCATCTGTTAAACAGCCTCCCAAAACCTGTCGAGATCTCTGCTTTTCACAACTCAACTCAGAGGGAGCAGCCGACGAGCTAGCTGATCAGAGATAAGCAGGTACTGAGTTCAGTATTTTTTCTTACTCTTGCTTTAGAGTAAAATGACAAACTTAATCTGTCACATGTTTTATTGTAAGTGCCTGTTAGCTAGCAACTGTAGTTCACATAGGTAGAAATGCATATCCTACAGTTTTCCCCTATAAAATATGGTTCTGTCACGATTTTGTAGCTTCATGGACGTATAAGGCTGTGATACGGAAAAGCTACTCTAATACAGGTTTTCCCGTAAACTCTGCACAACAATTCTGTTGTGCTCAGTTTGTTTGTCACATACTGTCCCTTTGTCACTTACTGTCCTATATGATTAACAGTCATATGATCAGCATGTGGTGTAATATGAAGTTCATTTGTTGCATGCAAGCTGTACACAGAGAAAACACAAACTTTAACGTATACTTAAGTAAATTATCACTACAGTAACAGCACTTTTACATAGGGATGGGGATTAAGTATGGACTTTCTGTCCTCTTTCCACTCCTGCTAACAAAGTACAGGTATTTACCACCCCTGATTATGATGTGTTAATCTGAGCCTGAATCTACATGTACAACTAGAAAATGCGGTAACACTTTCTATGAATGTCGCATTTGTAAGCATCTATAAACACCTTTATAACATGTTATAATGTATTCCTAAGGCATAAAAAACATGGTTATAAATATTTATAAAAAAGAATTACACTGAATTACACTTTATAGCCATGCTTATTATACACTACAAATTGTTAATATAATGCATTATAAATAGTGTTAATAACATGTTATAATGTCAGTGCCAAAGAAGTCAGTCCCAGCTTGGAGAGCGTAAAGTAAAGACAAATACCAAGCTAACGGTGGTGAACATTACCTTTCCCACATTGGGTAAAACACTGATGGCAGCTCTAGTTTAAACTCTGACATTTGAAGCCTGTAATGTGCTTTATTGTGAATGTTTTAGTGTTTCAGTAAATCCTTCAGTAAATACTTCAACTTGAAGCCTCACTCTGAACACTGGAGGAGGCTTTAGTACAGTACGCTTCACTTTACTTAGAGTGGACAATGAGCTCTTATAATTTGTTATGATTAGTACTTATAATGCATTATGTTAACAATTGATAATGCATAATAAACATGGCTATAACATATAATGCATTTTTATAAATATTTATAGCTGTGTTTATAATGTCTTATGAATGCATTATAACATGTTATGAATGTGTTTGTAGATGCTTACAAAGGTGACATTCATAGAAAGTGTTTCCGAAAATGTGTTATAAGATGAAGTTTATAAGTTTATAAGATGTTATAAACTCACGACAAGCATCTGAGGAGATGGTCATCAGCAGGACCAGCCCCAGCACCAAACACACACAGCTCATCTTCATGTCCATCTTCTCTGCAGGCGTCTGAAGCTCTGATTGTTTCTCTCTCCGTCTGTATCTCCAGTTTGAGCTGCTCAGTCTCTCACACTTTTTTTTTATAGATCACTTCATCCTCAATCGTTTTTTTAAAGGCTCTGCCGCCCAATGGCTCCCCCTTCACCACGTCTTACTCTCAGAGTGCAGAGCAAAAGCTCTAGAATAAAGATGACCCATGATGATAGCAGCTCTGATGAATCTGATAAGCTCAGTTCAGTAAACAGTTGACGGAAAACCTGTGACGCGGTTTATTCATTATGCAATAACTCATTAATACACCATCCTTTAAATATAGTACAATAAACTCAATCTGCTACACTACGTATCTAAAAGTGTGTACATACTCCTTCTAATCAGTGTGTTTGGTAACACCCACTGCTAACAGATGCATAAAATCAAGCATACAGTCATGCAGTCTCCACAGACCAACACTGGCAGTAGACTGAGTCATACCGAAGAGCTCAGTGACTCAACCACACCTGTCCAAAAAGTCAGTTTGTCAAATTTCTGCTCTGCCTGATGAAATGTAAGTGCTGTGACTGTGGAAGTGGAAACATCTAGGAGCAACAGCTCACCTACAGAGGGGAACAACACACACGATCATGACATAATTTTGTCAGATGGAAATATGTGCAATGTCCTAATTGACTCATCTTTGTCCATGGCTTATCATTTGACTCATTATTGCAGGAGGCCTATAGTAATTTTGTTATACACTCAAAAAGAAGAAAAACTAATGTTGATTTGGTTTATTTGCTGTGTGGTCCTGCTGAACAGTTTCTTTCTATTGGGTCAGAGATGGAGAGTAATCAGTGACCATTTAAATCAGCTCACAGGAGCAGAGTGGACAAGGGCAGCAGAACAAGAATGACAGCCTTAAATATTGCTGGTTATAACTGCCAGGAAACCGCCTTTTACTTCGATATACAGGTTTCCTGTATTACATGGCCAACTGAAGGGGGGGCCCACTGAGCTTTTGGTCCTACACCACTTAAAGATTAATGTGTCCATGTACGGTTACCACCCCACGTTTTGTCTAGGGTGCTGTGGGATCAGTAGCATGTGGTATTAAAACACTGAACCTCTTGAAAAGGGATAAAAGCATGAGGAACGGACAAATAAGAGCTTTTTAAAACAACCACAACAGAAATGCTGTGCTATGCTACCTAATGTGGACAGCACTAAAGAAAAGAACATAACCAAGCTTGTCCACTCTGAAACAAAAGTACTTAGCTAAACTAAGAAATGAAGCAAAAGCTAACTACACTAAACTTCCCTGGCCAATAATCTGAAGTACTGGGGACAGTGCCCACCTTCTGACCCAGGAAACTAGCCCTTGTGTGGTGTTGGGGCCTGTGGGCCCCATTTTCAATGTTTACCAAAAGAAAAAAATGACGCGATTTATTATTATTTCAACCTTGGATTCTTGGCCTTTGCTCATTTTCAGTGTCTTCACTCTGTTCACCCCCCACACTTCTATATTACACATGTGGGGTTGGGTGAACCCACGGGGAATGAAAGTGTGGAGGTGCTGTGTCCTTCAATCTGTTCTCCTCCTACATGACCTGCTGTTAGTGTGTGTGTGGGTGGGTGTATGTGTGTGTGTGTTTGTGTATGTGTTTGTATATGTGTGTGTGTGTGTGTGTGGACAACATGGACAGGCTGCTGACTGGCTGCAGCTGCTAAAGGAGAATCCTATGCTGACCACTTGTGATATTTTAAACATCTGGTACTTTTACATAAATTGTTATGGTTATATTGACTTAAAAATAAAGTGGTGGGTCCACCAGACCACTGAGTAACAAACACATCAACACCACAGAAGGGCTGGACAGAAGAAACTTACATGGTGCAAATCTACAGGCGCACCCTGCTTTCTGTTTGAAACCCCAGGTGGTGCTAACGGTCAAGCAGCTCTTGTAAACTGAGTTGGTAAGTGTTACTTTATCATAGATAACTCCAGTGGACGGTGAAGGCCAAAGCTCATCAGGTTTGTTGTCCTCAAGGACTTCCACTTCAAGTTGCTACATCTGTCTGGCCACTCCACAGCAATGCATAGTGACCTTTCTTCTCTATCCATCCACAATGTGTGTGTGTGTGTGTGTGTGTGTGTGTGTAAGGCGATATCATATAGGCTTTTCCTTTGTATTTTCTATTCTGTCTACCCAACAGTTTTTCAATTATTATTATTATTATTATTATTATTACGATTATTATTATTATTATTATTACAGAGAATGTGGTTCTGTTAAAAACATTGTGCATCATCCTTATCTCATTTCTACACATTGTATCTGTGGTACTGCATGTACTGAATGTACACTGTGATCTACATCTGCAGTGCTACTGTCAATGTCCTTTGTTACTATGACAATAATACAATAATTCCCTTCCTTTTATGTTTTTAATTTCTGCAAAACACAACGTTTTCATCACCACCACTACAGCCCACACCTGAACAAGAAGCCTGTTGAACAAAGTTGTGTAGTGTTACATTAATATAATCATCATCTTTTATCTATTGCCCCTCACACTGCAGTGTTACATTAATGATTACTGTTGTTTTTACTATTATTAGCTCTTAATATCATTAGTACTAGGGGTGGGAATCTCTAGGCACCTCACGATTCGATTCGATTACGATTCAGAGGGCTGCGATGCGATTATAAAACGATTATCGATGCATCTTTTTTTTCTATATAGCATTTATATTTTCTCACTGTGTGAGCTCAAGTTTCGAGCTCAAGTTTCAAGTTTATTTGTCATTTGCACAACATGTCAGGACATTTATGCACTGAAATGCTTGTGGTGAGGCTCAGCTAATCACTCTACAGAAAGAAAATAAGTAAAAAAAAAACCAACTGAAATTAAATATACACAAAATCTACACAGAATATACACAGAATATAGAGACAATATACATTTTAAAGTGACTAAGTGACTCAGTGTTTGTTATTTAAAGTGACTTGGTAGTTTTAAAGCAAAGTGTTTGTAATGATCCATAATGAATCTACTTCCAATATCTTTTTTAATAAAACAGATGGAAGTGGTGTGCTAAGAGAACTGGAAGGCTCTCATTCAGTGCTCTTGTTTGGAGCACGAGAAGCTGCTGCCACTCATCTGCGATAAAATGCGCAGTTATGGTGAAATAAGATCCAGTGGTCATAGATGTCCATGCAGCACATGTTACAGCAATTCTACCCGTTTTCTTTAGTGATTTTATAACTTGGGTTTTGGTCTCGTTGTAGAGACGGGGGAGGGGGGGGTCGCTGTGTCAGTGAAATATCTTTGAGACGCAACGTGTGAAACATAGCGCGAAAGCCCTGTTTCGTAATGACTGAGAATCGACGTGCAGACATATAGCAGTGATGCGTTATTCGCATTTATAAGCAGCGCAGTTGGTTTCCTGGTACGTTAAATCTGCAACAAGACACTGTCACACACTAAACAGTGGCGAAGCTGAAGTCGCTTCTCTTTCGAATTCTGGCGGAGATGGGAGGAAAGCGGCTATCGCTAAAGCTTAAAGCAGAGTAGAGTAAATCTGCATTTTCGTTTATATTGTTTAGTCTATACTAGGACATCATCACATACTGAGACACACTGGACATTAAATGTTGTGGCTCCCAAGCTGGTTTGATTTTTGTTGAAAGGACAAAATGGCTCTTCTTATCATTTGTGTTGTGACTCCTGACCTGACCTGGCTTTAATGCAGAGGGAGCCGGTCGGATTTCTCACTCATCCGGTTGTGTTTTGGTTATGTGCCGCCGCAGACTGTCCGGGCGCTACACTTACCCACTTCCAAGTTCCACCTTTTGCGTTCCGTCAACGTTAAGTTATAAATAAATATTTAGAAAATCGATTTTTGACATTTGTAAATCGATTCAGAATCGTTCACATCCACATCGCGATGCATCTCAGAATCGATTTTTTCCCGCAGCCCTGAATTAGTACTATTATTATTAGTATTAATAGTACTAATTACTATTTATAAGTAATAGCATGTTCTTATTGTTTTGTTAAGTCATGTTCTGTTCATGTATCTTCCTAAAGCTGGAAAATGTGTTAAAATGTTATGAACTCATGCTGAGTGTTTTAGGACACTGCTATCAGCAGGATCAGCCCCAGGGCCGAACACACACAGCGCATCTTCATCTTCTCTGACTGTGTCTCTGTCTCAAGTCTGAGCTGGTGAGACTCTCTCTCTCACTCTCTCTCTCTTTCTCTCTCTCTTTAAATTCACTTATTTAAAGGCAAGTAGTTCTGCTCCCCACCAACTCCTCTGTTCACCACATCGTCCTTTCGACTATAAAGAGGACACGTGATAGCATGTCTGATATATCTGATAGAGCAGAGTATGAGTCATCAGCTAGTTAGTGAAGGCCTGTGAAGTCTATTTCTTATAGAGTTACTGAATAATGTATCATCCAATAACCAAAACCTATAGAAGCTAATTTAATGCATGTGTGTAAACATATTGTAGAAAACTATGTAAATGTTTTTTTTCTTTATCTTCTTATCTGGCCTACATCTCTCTGCAAAGTGCATATACATTAACTTCTCATTACCTTCCATAAGTTTACCTCATGAAAATACTTTCCTGTCTGAGTAACTTAAAGAGGAAAAAGTGAATAATCATTATAATAAGCCTATAGGAAGATTTAATAAATCATCAAAGAGCTCAAAACTAGTGATAGTGATCATTTTGAATAGTTAGCAGGCAGGAGAAGCACTGGAACTGGAGCACCACACGTTCTTAAGCAGTTTATGATCATAATATTCTCAGAGAAACTTTACAGTAGGTGAAACTAGAATTAAACTAGAATTGAGCACTGAATTAAGTATTGATTGTAATGTATTGTACAGCACTTATGTATTGTATTGTATTGCACTGCTGGATAAGAGCGTCTGCTAAATGATGTAAATGTACATGTAAATGTAAACTAGCCACTGTTACCAGCATGGGTAAAAGCAGTGATTAACTGCACGTCCATTCACAAACAGATGATATATAACAGATGATGCATTAGTGTGAAAACATACACATGTATACAAAATGCTACTA